TAATTACAGGAGGCTTGTTGCCAGATGTTATTTCAAAAGTTATGTGATTATGAACAATGTAAACTAAACATTTTACTCATTATCTTACTGGCTTACCCATCCATACTTCTTGCAAAAGTGCATAAAACATAGGGACATTTGACATTCCTATTTGCTTTATTAAGAATAATGCAAAATTTCTGGAGGGAAACAAATGCTCTCAGGGCACGGCCATATTCCATTCAAATTTTGCTCAGTTTGATCTATTGATGATGAAAACATATTTTGTACATGTAAAGTTATCTTTTAGTGTATATATTTTATACAAAAAGAGAAAAAAACAATGACCGTTCTTCAAATAGACTAAGTACTGCTTTAAAATGTTTTTTTATGGTAAAGAAAAAAGTGTTGGTAATGTTTTTTTCCCCATCGGAGGGTGTGTGCAGCTAAGCTACAACCAAAGAGAAGGTTGATAAATTGATAGCATTTTCAAGTTAACCTCAATTAAATGCTGAAGTATGACACACCAATACTCTAAGTCATTAAACAAGGGGATTTCCACATCATATAAATTAAGTGTATGCTGTATTTATATAGCTGACAAGTTTTTGAAAAAAGAGCTAAATTAAATCCACATGTTGCACTGCCTGTTGGTTCCAATCTCTTGGTGTCATGGAGTAAATAATAATCTGTAAATAATAACCCAACCTAAGTAAGATAAAATGTGAAGAAACACCTGTTTCTGTTTAGATGATTAAAGTTCAATAGTTGAGGTTTAACAATTAATTTTCTCTAATTAGACATAATCCTGTTTGAATTTCATTTTACGGTAAGATTAAAGGGAGACGAGGGGGAAAAAAATGTTTTGAGTGAGTTAGTTCAGTGCTTGAGGGCCAGCCAGCACACCTGTTCAGAGGGAGATGCAAGGCAGGAGTTCTAAATACAGGCCAGAGGAGCATTGGGAGGCCAGGCTGCAGGGCCAACCATCTTTTCATTAGCCGTATCTAATGAAACTGCACAGGGCCCGAGGAAGAAAGGCCTACTGCAGGGACACCCTGCCCTGAACGAAATTACACCAGAGACTCACCCACAAAAGAAGCATTCCGTCCACACAGCGACACTGGCACTTGACACCAAATTTTAAACCGACAGGTTGTTTCTTCGACAAGTGGAAATTTCCACTGCGGTCCCTTCCCAGGCAGGGAGGCAGGGTGAGAGAAACGACTTTCATGGGGGTTTAATCTCACGGTCCTCACGGCCCCCGACACTTCGTTCCCTGCTCGCTTTGTTTGGGAACAGTTGTCAAGATGGAAATATCTGATACTCTTTCTAATCACACAGCCAGCAATTACTGTTATTAAGCTTCCTATGAGGGGGAGTCATCGTTTTCTTTCAACGCTACTGACAGACTCCAAAGATTTTAACAGCATGCGCTGAGCGAACAACAGGCAAATTTGTGAGCGCGGGCTTGTACTTAAATGTGCATAAGACAGTTCCCACACAAACACACGCGCACACACAGCGTGTTTCAGAGAGGTGAGAAAAGAATAAGGTTATAATGACAAAACACTTGTCATTAAAAAGTCACAGCGTTTTTAGTTTGCATCTTTAGCCTCTAACCCTTTGGACTGCACGATTATCAGTTATGGTACATTATTTCTTAGTTTTTGGATACAATTCTGACATTTCTGGGAAAACATCTTGAAAAAAATGTTCCAAGTTTGTAATCACGTCTGGTATTTTCTGAATTTCTCATTTTCAATCAGAGTGTGTTGAGCAATCATTAATATTTCAGATTTAAGTGAGGACTCTGGAGTACATTTGAAATCGAATTCAGCTTTGAGATTTCATATTAGAAGTTTAATTGGTGCCTATTTAATCACCTCAGTCTGAACCCTTAGACTTTTCCACTGGTGTTACCTGTTGCTACCTACACTGTACAGAGCATGTGTGTGTGTTCTCCCAGGTTTGCGTTGACCCCGAGGTCAAAGTATTCCATCGATGACAGCCTTATCCCCTTTAATGCTCTGATGAGCATCCTGGCTGCCATGTGCCAGCGCAGAGGTGTGTGTGATGAGTGGAGATGAGTCACAGACAGGGGTGAGAGGAGGTGTCACATAGATAACCCCTACAGATGGACAGCGGGAAGGGTCTTAAGTTTCAAACCTGGATGTGTGTATGTGCGTGCCTGTTGTTGTGTAAAAATGATATACCCTGAAAAAGAGAATAAGAAAAACTGTGTGTGTGTGAGTGTATTTTCACTCATGAGTCTGGAGGCCTGAGTGGGAGAGTGAAACGAGAAGCCCTAACCTTGAGTAGCAGCGATGTGAGCCATCATCACAATTGGCCCCACCTGATTCAAGTAGAAAAGAACAAGAGAGCAAAGACTAATTCTCTCCAGTTTGGGGCTGTCATGCCGCAGAGCATCACGTATCAACATGGTGACAACAAGCACTTTGTTTCTGTGGTGAAGCTCCAAAGCAATACTGATAGTTTTTGCTTTAGAAATTCACAGCTAAAGTCAGCATCCTGTTATAAAAGTCCTCAAAGAATTCAAAAATTGTATTTTAGAAATGCCAGAGCATATGCTTTTAGAAAAAGCCTGCTGTAATGACTCTTTCAGGAAGCACAGTCTAAACTCAAGGCACCTCTGGTAAACTATTTACAATGTACATGTTCATGCAAAATATGTATATCATAGAAAACTGCACTTATCTGTTGACTTAACAGACATATTTGTTTTGTAATCTTTTAATTCCTCTGACTCTTAAAGGATGTGTATGGTAACAAAAGGATGCATTGATATGAGTGGCATAACCGTCACAATTTCAGCAATTCATCGGATCCCATGCCAAATCAAACCAGTTTCTTAATTGTCTGGTATGTTGCTACACATCAAGGCATTCAACGCACCACACCCAATGTACTGTTCAGAGGGAATAATTAACTGTATTGTAGTCTATACTGCAAACATGTCTTCCTCTGGTCACATTTTTATTCCCGCAAAAACTGCCTGCTTTGCTATCCAGAGACCAAAACAAACAACTAAATTCTACTGTTATAGATGGTGTATTTTCCAATTGCTTTCGAATAAAATTGATTGTTTTCAATAGAGTCACATAACTGACATGAAAGCCTAATTTACAGAAAGACATGAACACTCACACTCACTCAATTATTTTTTTTGTTAACATCTTGTAACTCCAAGAAGTAAAAGGAGCATCTCCATTATTGAAGCGCGGATGCCTCCCACTAAAAGGTGGCTATACAAGTCAGGCTTATCTCCCTTTGTTCCTATGGGGAGGTTTACTGTCTGTAAACACTTGGCTCTGCTTTACGATGGAACATCCAAATAAAAAGCTTTTTTGAAGACTTCACCCTGTCACTTAGTCGAGCAGTGTCAATAGACCCACTGCATAATGACTCACCTGTGATTGCGTGAGAACGAGTTCTTACAGGAGACTGAGTGGCACGTCACATAGGAATGACAAAGCCCTCAATGTTTATAAGACTAATTGACCGCCCCCTCCAACCCACCCAACCAATTCCATCCCTTTATGCTCACTCAAGTTTATCGATTTCCTGGAATTCCTAAGAACATTTTGAGAATTACCTCGAGCTTCGAGGACTTGAATTTTGTGCTGCACCAAACGTAAACTTTAAGGTCTAGACTTGAAGCAGGCCGGTCTGAAACTAAATGGCAGGCTTACCGGGTATGTGGAGCTTACATAAACGTGCCTCTCTGGACCTTTTAATAAACATGCATCCTCTCTTTGTGTAGAGTAGTGGGATAATGAGCATGGAGGACAATTACCATAACTAGCTGATGCTATCTGATCTTTAGGGGAGATCGGTTGAAATGTTGTAATTGCACTGTCAAGCTGCTGGAAAACAAACAGAAACACCCCCTTTCTCGACAAAAATACACATGCATGGTCTTCCAAGAATTCTGAGGCCCTCTCTGCCTTCAGCCAGGTCAAAATGAAATTCTTCTGTACTCCCCTCGTTTAGCTGCCACCCCTTTCTGATGCTGATAGGCAGGCATCAAAGAGAGGTCCAGGGGCAATTAACAGGGCCTGAGGGCCGGCACACACTCCAGTGGTAAAAAGCAACTCAGATTTTTTCATCCTATTAAAGGCAATTAACGTAATCCCTCATTTATTTGGATTTCCCAAAGAAAACAGATTTATTTATAAATTAAATGTTTGGCATTAATGTATATTATATCATTATAGACTGAAATGAGCTGTGGTTAAAGAGACATGATGGTGTACCTCACACTAGCTGAAAGACAAAGCACAGCCAACGTCCTCCAGCAGTTCAAAGGAGTCGCTCTCTCTAAACATTATCATATAATTTGGGCCAGCCGTCAGCTTGTAAATAAGTGATGTAGAAGCCCATTGTGTGATGGGGCACAGGTTGGAGACAGGCGTCTTTGCTCTGCCGGCTTGAGCTGCTGAAGACAAAGGCAGGAGACAGAGCGTCTAACCTTTGATTCTTCTGAGGACTCAGCCGCCTTGTATGAGGGCAGGACGCATCAGCCACAATCATGCCCCCAATGTGGGGACGTCAGGAACAATAGAATCACCCTCACACAGTCAGGCTGAACAACAAACCCTTGCTGCAATTGGATTAGTGAGTATCCAACCACCGTGTGTTAGCCTAATTGACATAAAAGTGAAATCTGAGAACAATAAGGCCCTCGAACCCAAAGGCCCACCAGCTTTGAAATGGCATACCTCTCCTGTAAAAGCTTCGGCTGTCAAAATGTACTCTATACTGTTGGGATATTTCAGGATCACAGGGTACGAGCTGGATGAACCAGAAGATGATTCATTCAGCTGGTTAGATGCCACAGAGAAATAAACATTACATTAAGTCTGGGTAGACAGGCCATCCAGAAATGTTTTCTGTCTCTTATGTGTTGGAAAAGGTGATATGAACAAAATTGAATTAAATCAAATAATTCAATCTATTGTTAAACCAACTTCACGTAGCAAAAGTAATAAAAATATGGTGTCACTTTTTATTTCTATGAATAATTACTGTAAAAAAATTATTACATGTATTTTACAATGAGGTAAAATTGATTTGGTTTTAAGGACGCTATTGAAGATAGTCAGACTGATTTAGTTGTAAACTAGTTAAATGAAACTAATGTACATTTCTCATGTCAACTGGATTCTTAAGAAACAGTGCGGTGAGAAAAAAAAAATCAAGCAGCACTCCAATTCCTGCAAACACGCAAAGGGTACATCTTGTGATATGACCGAATCTTTCATAAGAAGTCATCTGTGTTTTATTTTCCTGTATATAATGTGAAAGCAATAAATATTACCAGTAAATAAACTTTACTTTTTAGAGTGTTTTTACTATTTTCTCAATAAAAAAAACTTATACAATCTAATGTACATTATGAAAAGTTGTACAGCTTTTATGTTTAAAATAATGACTCAATTCATTTTTTATATGTAGATATAAATATATATATTTTGTCAAAATAAATGATCATATTGTCAAAGAAACCAAAAAAAAAGTGAGACAAAAATACACCAACATCGTAAAAGTTATAAATAAGGGTCCAGGTGAAGATTTTTTTGGACTGAAGACTTTCTGATTTGTCCATGTTGCTTATGTCAAGTTGCCAGTTCAAGTCCAAGATTTCGAAAGTTTGTGTGTGTTAGCGGCAGCCGCAGCCCTCCACCACCATTTCCTGGTAGTTCTTTAGGACCACCTTGTCGTGTTCGTCTAGGTAGAGCATGGAGATGGCGCTGAGCTCTGTTGGGACGCAGCAGGCCTTGGGAATGTTGTTGTTCACAGAGTTCACCAGTGTCTGAACAATGGCGTGGTTGGTTGAGTTCAGATGATCTGCCAGAGGAAAGGGGCATTCTCCGTGGCAGTAGTAGGCCTGGTAACCAGGAGGTGCCACTATCCAGTCATTCCAACCCACATCGCTGAAGTCCACGTACAGCGCGTGGCGCCGGCAGTTGCGGTTACGTTTGCGGCCCCGCTGCTTGGGGCTGCGCTTGGTCCGACGGGTCAGCGGGTGACCCTTCCCGTCGTGGCCGAAAGTAACCAAGAGAGGGCGCAGCTGCTCCCAGTCCTCCCCGGGCTCTTGGTGCAGCGAACGGCTTACGCGGACATGTCGGCCCTGGTGGCGTGGAGTCTGGTTGAGGTGCAGAACCTCCACGGCCAGTCCGTAATTAGGGAGGCGCTCATGAGTCCATCGCAGCACAGCGGGGCTGACGTCGAAGCTCTCCCAGCGCGACATGTTGTGGTGCACCAGCCGGGTGTCCAGAAGCTGTGTGATAAGCTGCCCAGGCCGCGGCGGTTTCAGCACCTCGTATACGTTTATCCGGTGAAGCCCCTGCTCCTCGGAGAGAGCCTCGCCGATGGCCTCATCAATCTGATGACGGTAGAGCCTTAGTTCTGCAGAGGACAGCAGCTCATCCTCTGGAATGCTGCTGAGGTTGAACAGGAAGCGAAAAGGCATGGATTCTCCATCATCCAGCTCAGGCATCCCCTCCATGTGCTCTGAAAAGGAGAAAAGAAAAGAATGGAGCGTTTGCTAAAGCGCAAGATCCAACAAGGGTCGGGAAACATGGTGGAATCTATTCAGATTTATACATTTTATAAATATGCAGCTACCCAATATGATGTTTGTTTGTTTCTTCTTTGTTTGCTCAAGTTCTGAGGACACCAGATCACTCTAGATGATAGACAGTAGTGAGGCTCCTTTCTGTGCCAGCCTCAAGCTTCCTAACTTCTAACATAGCTTAATTGACACCAAAGAATGAACAAGCAGACATCTGAAGTCCTCTAGGGTAGTCAGAAATATAAATATATATCATCTATGTTTCGTTATCTATATTTAAGGATTATCCTGCCCTTCTCTCAATGCCTTTCTCTGAGCACTTTGCTGAAACATGCATTACAAGGAGGGTGGTGATTAACGTACCACAGCTACAGTATAAACACAGTGGAGGCTCCCTGTTCCACGCACAGTCTGCAGATTTCTGGCAAGATCACCATTGTTGGGGAAAGGAATGTTGTGTCTACTATTTTCCTGCTCAATCCACCCCTGTTATTTCACACCCAGGCCCTAATCTTACCCAGGTGGTTCTCGTTATTAAAACCTGCTGTGTTTTTGATTAGCTCGGCAGTCTGTTCACTTAAGACATTTATCATTTTCATCGTGAATAATCATTAAGGAGTCAGACAATACAGTAGAATCTCATTAATTTGAAGCTCATGGGAAAGGAGGTATTGTGTGGGAAGGCAGTGTCCCAAACCGTATTCAAAATTTCAAGCATCTACACATTCTCCCTCTCATGTCTTGTCTGCCTTTTAGTCTAATTGACAAAGTAATTTGAAATTTATGATTGCTGTTACGCCCAGTCAATAAAAAGAACCACCCTCTCTCTGGCTGAATTCTAGATGAATGCTTTGCTTTTCTGTAAACATTTTCCCCTCAACCAAGTATCCATCTATTGCACACATCTGGAGGGACCTCCAGTACCTCCAGATGTTTTGGACAGATCTGCCAACTGAGTCACACTGTCCACTTACTTCCATGCTTCCATGGAAGTAAGCCCTCCCACTCAAAAGGCTCCCAAACATATCATTATCATAGTTCAGCAAAGAAGAGGAGCAGAGACCCATACGCAAGCTCATGTATGCCCTCACATATTGCATCACGGGCAAACGCTCCATCTTCAAATTTTCCCTTTTTTCCCTAACTTGTCTTTGTACACATCTAGGTTAGTGTAAGATTGTTGGTGGTGTGTTTGTCAAGCCCGATTACATCTGGACATCCATGGCTTACACATCCAAGACTCGTCGCTGGCATCAAAGCTGGATGCATCCTATAGTCTTGAAAACCAAACTAGGGTTTTCACAGTTCACCTTTCCTCATGATCAACTTTCTTACCAGTTTGTGACATCTTCTTTGTCTCTTTATGTCAGTCAGATTGTTATTTTTTCAGCAGACATTGACGTGTCTTTTACCCCTCTGAAAACCTAACTAAAAACCTCTGTATCTGCGCTGCAGCTAAGCAGTCACAATAAAAAGAAACCCCTCTATCACACAAGCCTCTGAGACGCTTTTTCCATCTCTCCGCAGAGCTGCAGCGTCTTCTCTCATCACCCACATTGTTGGCAGTAAGGACTTTATTTAGAAGGCTGCAGAGTAGCATTAAAGATAATTGCACAGTGAGGAAGGTCTTTCTAAAAGAGCCTTCCATATAAACTAAAGACACAAGAGAGAAGCACATTACAATTCCAAGCCAAGAACAGGCTTTTTTAAGCCATGTTCTGCTGGGTGGGGTGAGAAGTGTAAGTCAGTAATATGAAGGTATGCTTTTCCTTGAGCTACTAACCAAACATGCAGAGCTTTGTCAAATTAGCCTCTTGAGAGCTTGTCTAGCAGAATTCTTTTGCCACTCTGTAGACTGTGTTTGGTGACCACATCCTTAGATTCTTTGGTTATGGTGAGATGGGTGGAGCGCCTTTTACAATCATGTTTCCAGGCAGAAGCATGATTTTTTTGTCTTAAAAATACCTTAAGAATGATGTAACACTAAGATTAATTACCTTTTTTTCCTGATTCACAATTACACCGCTTCATTTCCCCACTGTTCTTTTTCATTTCTGCTAACAATTGATTAAGCAAAAATCTCTCCATTCTCTTACCTTCATGGTGAAAGCCTCTCACTGTGTTGGCCCGGCTCGCCGACCTCTCCGGGTACTCAAAAGCAATATCATGTCCAAGTTCTTCGGCTTCCCCCGACTGGAGTCGATAGAGGTCCAGCAGGTAGCGCGGCACAGTGGCTGAGCGACTGGGCCGCGGCCGCCTCTTGAGGCCAAACATGTGCAGGAGCGTTGCCTCAAAGTCCCGCAACAGTTCATGGCTCTGAGCGGCCGAACGACCCTGCAGGCCAGGTACTTTCTTTTTCCCTTCTTCAGGTATCAGACTAGCATGGTTACGCTCTCCCAGCAGGACTTGGCATATTAAAATGACCATCAGCATTCGATTACCAGGAATCATGATGTCTCTGGTGGGAGCGGCAGATGGAACAGGGAGATAAAAGATTAGAAAAGGTCAGAGAGAAGCAGCAGGGCAGGAGGACATTAGAAAAACCAGGACCACAAACTGTCTAAAATCTATTTTTCTTTTCGGAAGTTTAGTAAAGTGAAGTAGTTACAAGCTTTAAAACCTGGCCTTCAACCTCTTTTCAAACTATTCCCACGAGGGACACTCTAATTACCTCCAATAATGCAGTCTGCCTTGTTTACAGTAAAGCAGTCCCCGATCAGATATACTACTTGCTGTTTATCTTTTGCGACATCCTCCAAAGGTAAACAGCTGGTTCCACAACCCAACTTTTTTAATGCGATCTGACGGGCCATTCCTCCTCACTCCACCCCTTCCCCTTGTCTCCTCCACTATGATTAGACAAATAAAAGAGGCAGCCCTGGGGTCGGAGCAAATTCTTAACTCGATGAGGAGCCATTGTCCCTCACAATCTCCCCCAACAAGCCATACCACAAATCTGAGGCCTTTTGCAACACATTTGAAAAGAAAAGGCTTTTCCTCATGCATGCACGTTGCCCAACACCCCCTTACAGACCTTTAGTTCAAGTCTGGACAAATGCCACATAAATGTCTGATTCAGTGAACAGAGTGGAGAAGGGGGGGGGGGGGGGATCTGCAAGATGCAGCAACGTGTCACATGCCACAAATTGAAATGCCACAGTCCACTTACTTACCGACAGAAAATAAAGCATGGGAAAACAGTCCATGTTTGTTGGGAGAAGGCAATGGACACGTTCTTCCAGGAAATGTTAGGTGGTGCTGGGAGGCTGCAGGAGAACGTTGGAGTGACCCTGTTCCTGAAAGATACAGTTAAAAGCATGAGGAAACTATAAACCGACTGCGGCTGCAAACACTTGAGGTCGTTACATAGTATTTACTTGAAGACCAGCACATGAGAATGTGTGTATTTCGTGTCAGCCAGTGTGTGTGTGGGTAAGAAAGAGACCCAGTGTCTCTTTAAGGCTTATCATTTTGGCTCGTGGGTAAGCTAGCTATTTGCTGTAACTGGAATGTAAGGAGGTATGTGCCACAACACGGACAGCAGATCACTTATGCCTTACACTTAGACAGAAAACACACCTTTTTTAATCATTACACCTCTATGAGATGTTAATGTATTTTTCCGTTAAGTTAAAAAGGGACACTAAGTAACAGACTAAATCTTTCTCCAAGTGAGCCCACTCGACTTTTATCTGTCTAAGCAGCGGAGGTAGCTTATTTTGAAGACCCTCTCAAAAGTGTCTCATCCCTTTGCAGTGTTGTGCTTTTGGAGGGCTCACACAAGCCATGGTGACACTGATGACAGGCCTTCTGCACTTCCCTGTCATCAGTAAGAGAGTCTTGCATTCGGCACTGATGTATACGTGGGTTATATTTGGCTCTCTAATTTGATGAAACCACAGCACAGAGAATATTTTATTGGAATGTGCTCCACAAGACTGTTGAAATAAACTCGGAGCAGCTTCTCCGAAATTCCGACCTAAAAGCGTCTGAAAGTAAGAAAAACAAAGTTAAAGCGGTCGTCCTCGTCCTCAGTCAGTTTTAACAAGCACTGCTCTGCAGCTCTAATGATTCAGTTTTCACACATCATTTAGAGTGTTAAACGCTACTGAATCACCCTAATAAAATTACTGAGTTTTGGAGTGACCACAACAACAGCACCATGGAGCAGACACGCCAACTCCACAGCGACATAGGTCATCATTTGGAGACTGTTCTGCTGGAGGGCACCCAAGCATTAACACAGAAAGAGGATGCATATTCCCAGGAACAGCGTGTGCATGTGTGTGTGTGTGTATGTGCGCGTGTAAAATATAGTCACACACAGTGTGTGAGCACGCCTGGTTTGGTATCTGTGTGATTATCTCAGCCCCTGCATGGCTCACTGTACATGCAATCAAGGATCTCTTTTCTAACAGCATTAGACTTTGACCTCAGTCTGACCTGCTTTTGCCGGTCATGACACTAGATCCTGCGTGTGTGTGTGCGAAAAGGCCGACGTGCGCGGTGGGCGTGCGCGGGCCAAATGGCGTGCGCGTCTGCACAAGCGCACGAGCGTGTGCCACCGCTGGCATATTCGTGAGAACTGTGGCGAGGAGAGCACAGAGCTCAGAACATGATCAGCTCTATTACCCATGGGGTGCGGGGATAAACGTGTGTGTGTGTGTGTGTGTGTGCGCGAGTGGCTGTGTGAGTCCGTGTGTGCACATCTCTAACAACAAACGTTCATTGTACAGTGAGGGCCTCTCCCATGATTACAGGGATTCATAGCACTCAAAAACACTGACCATACAGAACATCTTGTAACTGTAACCAGCCACTGACAAAGCTGCAGGCTAAAGCAGACAGACACTCAAAGTGGTGTGATGATGATGAAAGAAGATGTAAAGCAGACAGGGAGTTACTTCAGCTCTGGAAAAAGTCAGCGTGTTCATGCGGCTTGCCTGTTTTCATCAGCGAAAATGTGAAAAAAAAAAAGAAAAAGCTAAATATTTTGAGTCTTTCACATTGATTTCCCACCACATTAATCACTCAGATGTTCTCCTCTCAGTCAAACAGCGAAAATCTAGCTGCAGAACAGAATGTTTTGCAGCTTAACTGGATGAACTCGGGAAACATTAAAACTGGGCAACAGACAAAAGACACTTTTTGCAACGACAAACGCAGACCAGGGTGCAATTAGGCCATAGCAGTCAACTGCCCTTGGCTTTGCTACATCCCCCTCAACTTCTCCCTCCCTCTCGGTTTCTCTCTGACCAGAGATAATGTGATCAGACTATGCACATGGCTCTTCAGATGTGTTTCCTGAGGAATTTGACAGTGATGGTGGGAGGGAGGTTGAGAATGAGGAAGGGAGCAAAGGAGGGAGGGCAACAGGTTACCATGAGAACAATCTATGGCCAGACTTCTGCAACGACTTTACTGATATACGGGTATTGTTCTTATTACCGAGATGGTATCGGTTGTTGCCATTTTGCTATAAAATATGGTTAATTGTATTTTCCCTTTTTATAGGCATCCCGACTACTTTTCCAAAGAGCTGCAGGAGTTTGATAAATATCTCATTTGAAAAGCTAACTTTATTTTTTACAATAGGGTCGATATGCTTGTGTCCATCCTCAGTAATGTTCTAAGGTCTCGCTAAAAACTAAAACTTTTTACAAGAACTGAGGCTTCAGGTCCAGTTGAAAATTTGAAAAAAGAAAGCAGAAAAAAAAGTCAATCCAGCCTTTTTTAATGAACAATTCAGATGTAGAACTTTAATCTTTTAAATCTTATTTTTCTGTGCTAGTGACTCAAAACTCAAACATTCACAGTCAGTGAGATCACTGTGAGCAGATTAACAGTTTTTTGGCCTTTATACCTTTTTCTTTTCTTTTTTCCCAAGACAAATAATGGGCTGGGTATGAGACACATCTTTTAGCTTTCTCCCCTCATAAATTAAAATGACCCGAGACAACGAGATTAACAACAAAAACATTCAATAAAATCTGAATTGCCAAGTGTTTTCTGAGAGTTCCACATGAGTAAAACATTTATTGGAACCATCAGGTGGAATCGACCAAAAATCAGCACCATGTCAGATTTATCCCTAAACAAGCAGATCAAGAGATCCTTAAAAAAATCGATTTGACTTTTAAAATAATATGGTCTATATTTGATTATGAAAAAATGGAATGTTTCCATCGATAAACCTTGTCTATTTGTTTCCCTGTATCGCAGCCTGGAAGTTCCATTGACAATATGTGCCGAAAACGGCATCGTCCTGCAGACTCCTTTTCTCAGAATAGAGTCAAGGGTGGACTCTATTCTGGATATTAAATACTGATTTTCACTTTTAGATAGGTTGACAGTATTTAACACACGTAAATCTTTAAATAACTGTCTCCCTCTAAAGTTCTAATGTAACTCGGTGGTGCGCGTTGGCACTCGCTGTTTGAGCAGACACCTTCTGAATAAGCAGAAAAGAGCGCAACAATCACGCGCGTTTATGTTGGAATTACGGCTGAAAGTCTGGAATTATTGCTGAAAGTCTGTATCTGAATGTATCTGAATCGGGATTATAGTACAGAAAAAGTGTTAGTGAGGGAAAAAAAACCCATCTGAACTCATCCCCGACGTTCTTATTACGCATACCTGCGTGTAAGGAAGCAGATGCAGGTGGTTAATCGGGCAACATCGGTGGTAAACCTCGTGAAAGGGATTAAATCTGTATTACAGAAATATTCAATTGGCCCAAAGTAAAGGAAGCGCAGTGAAATCGTGCGCTCTCTTTAGAAATGACCTCACTATCTCAGTTTGTCATTGCACAAGTCCCGGCCACAAAAAAAAGTATTCTACGCTTGGCATCACAGCGATGATCGCTGTTATTTCACTTTATCTCACTCTTTCAATATGTAAGGCAGACTGATGGATTTTCATTTCCATAGAGGCTGACTTTTTTTATTTCTGTGTGACGAGAATATCTTAGAAACGCGCAGCAAAGTGGTCCAAACGCGCAGAAACCCCGCAGACCAAAAGTTGCGAGTTGCTAAACGTCAACCAGAGTCCCTCCTATATTTTATCATGAAAACAAAGATTTAGTGTACAGATTTAAGTGTAAAAGGTGTCAAGTGATGACCGCCTACCATCAGTAGAGGTACAGGTATCCTCGGACGAATACGAAAAAACGAAGGTGTAAAGCAGTCCAGGCGTTACGCCGAAAAAAACAAACAAAACAAAAAAGGATCAATGTCGAAATGAGCCTTAAAAGAGAAGTTTGCTGCCCTCTTGGCTCATTAATCCTTTGGTGTCACCTCTACGCGGACGAGGAGCGGTTCTCGGGCTGTAGGAAGGGGCTCCTATCCGTGTGCAGGGCAGCCTGTGGCTTTCCAAATGATCCAGCATCTACGGCCCCTTGCAGTTTTTATGTGTCCGCCCAACCGCCCTGCCTCCTCCCCCCTGCCCCCCCACGACCCCCTCTCCACCCCCACCCCCCCAACAGATTGGATAGCTGACTGTGCGCACCCCCCCACCCCACCCCACCCCACCTCTCTTTTTTTGCTGGTTTTGAGAACCTGTGTGAGTTGACAGTGAACGACGCTCGACTCTCCAAAGGGGCCCATGTGCATTTCATCTCAACGAAAATCTCTAACGAGAAAAAACTCCACGTCTCAAGGTGACGTCTTTTCATCAAGATTCCCGCGGCTCTGCAGATGGAAACAAGTGCTTTATGAAGAGTTTGAACGGGGTTGATGGACTCATCTTCATCTAAGCTCATGGCAAAAAAAAAGCACTTAAAATTTATGGTAAAAAAACATTAAATTAAACGGATTTTCCTTGAGAAAAAGAGTGATTAAAAAAGTATGTCACTATTCAAAATCAAAGTTGTTTTTCCATGTGGTTATATTTATACTCAGGATTAATTAAAAATTTTCATTTTTTATTTTTTTTCTTTCAAATAGCGCAATTCCCTCACCTGGATTTCTGTTATTTGCTAGAGTGAAAAGAAAGATCCTTTTTGATTATTTTGGATTATCGTAATCACTGTAAATGCATATTATAACTGACATTTCGATAAGACGTTTTTCTCAGAAGCTCGTTTGGAAAGATTCGTTTGACCCGGAGCTAAGTCAATAACACCATACAACCAAATTATGTCCTTGTGTAACACGAAGAGTTTTCCATTTGGCCTTCCTCATGGACCCTCTTAACCATACCGAGAACCAATATGTGCCTTCTCCATACATTTTGCGCAACTCCAACGCATATGGAGAAACACATGGCACTAAAATCCCAATGGAACATCTTTAAAAAGCCTTAAATTCACAAATGAATAAATGTAATTATATCCTGAAAAAAAAATCTCCATCGTAAATTAAAAAAAAAATCTTCCTCATTAAGATCTATTGCAGGGGTCTAATATGACGAAACCCAGAAACAGAAAGACGAACTCATGACTTGAGTTAAAAAGGCTTTATTTACAAAAAAAGAGACCGAATGTGCTGGTCCTGACTCCAAATGGCTGGTTGTTCCAAAGAGCTGCGGGCAGAGAAGGTTTGCAGAATGTCAGCAGGTGAGTTTCCAAGTGAAAAATAAATGAAAAATAAATAGATAAAGGTTTACTGAGAGGGATGGGGTTTCTTCGTGGACTTGAATGAGCAATTCTTCAGAACAATCTTGCGTGGTTGCTGGCTGATTAAAGTAGTTCAAGACAGCTAAAAGTATCTCCCTGAAAGAGAAAGAAAAATCAGTCTAATAATTATTTTTTTTTTTTAAAAATCAGAAAACCCAACGAAGCTAATAACACCATATGATTTGAAAAATGTTTCTTTCCTCATTTCCTGCTTTATGAGGGTATATTGTTGTCTATCACTGATCATGATATTTCCACATCCTAAATAGTTGTCAGAATTTCTCTTTTTTGACTCTAACTTCATAATATCAGCTGTGATATAATCAGTGTTGCATCCAGCAAGAGCAGTGCATTTTATAGTTCTGAATTTAATTAAAGCAGAAGGAAAAAAGAGGAAAAGAAACCCAAGAACTCAACTTTAAGCTGTTACAACTTGAAAAACTGTCTCATTGATTCTTTTTTAGCCACCATGGCTTCTTTTACTCTGCTAAAGATCATGCTTACCTGGAATGATATACATGTAAGAAGTCAAATGTTTCTTTTCTGTTTATTTCAGCAGATGTTGTGTTTGTAGGGTGAATTTGGTAAATAAATCAACAGGCATTATGGTTTCCTCTTTAATGTGAACCAATAAAAGGCCACAAAAATGAGCACCAAATAGGTCAAACTACCTATCATCCTGATAACATGTTTGTATCAAGTAATGATAATAATAAAACAACAATAATAAAAAAAAAAAAAATAATAATAATACGTTACCCCTGAGTTGTGGGATTTTAATAAAGTGTAATACGTACTTTTGATCACCTTTAGAGTATCTGGTTGATCTACTTTGATTAACAGAGCTCATCATCCAGTCCTACAAACTTGGCTTAGACTTTTTTTCCTGTACTTTTACACGTGTGGTTTTGGGGATGCGTGTTCTGTATTCTTCACTTTTAGTGCATACCTTTGGCATGACTCTGTGGCTGTCTCACGTCATCATGACTGCGGCCTTTGGTGTCCTGTTTTTTAGACACAGACCTCATCAGGCACGCTTTATTTTTGGTCAGATGCTCAGTTTTTTCACGTGGAATCCACATTTCAGGGATTTTCCCCGTTTAGATTTAATGACGGGATGATTACGCAGATGAGCTGACATCAGTGCATTCATAAATTTATCAAGCATCCTTATTTTTCTGTCTCAAAGCATGATTTGCTATTCTTAGTACAGCCGAAGGTTTGGGCAAACAAAACCATCCCTGCTCACTGACTCTTAGAACATAGATCATACATAAAAACCTGTTGCCTTTCCTTTATTTCTATTCCATTGCTGAAAACATGACTGAGGAGTCGGCTGCAAAGACATTTCAATGTTTGTTCTAATGAGAGCCAAAAGAATAAACAAGTAATTGCTCAATACACAACAGGATGTTTATGTGACGAGATGTATGAGATTGCAATGTTACCTTTGGACGATGCAAGTAAATTGTAGATGCGTCAAGCACTGAGACAAGACTACACATGAATTTAGATCAAGAGATGCAAACTGCAGACAAGCTGAAAAGATGCCGCAAACAAACATCAGGGCCATGGAACCATTTGTTATGGACGGATAAGATAAGGTCACACTGATGTGGCACATCTACCTCTGATGGGTAAATCAAAGAGAAACAAAAATACAGCTCAAGCCAGCGCACATCTTAGCTAGTCTCTTTGTAATATCCACACGGATGAGGGCATGCCACCTTCTGCTGGCCGCAAATTAGTTGTTGGTCATCATACGTTAAACATTCCATCCGTCACAATACTGACTTTGGCAACTATTTCTTCTTCAAGGATTGTAGGAAAGCAGGGTGCCATGGATGGGCAGATGTTCTCTGATCATGCTGCATCTGTCTGTCATGTTTAAAACATAAGAAAATCAGATCGCTGCTACAAGCCAAGTTTGTCTCAGTTTAGACGTATTCGTAATGGATTATGATCCTGTTCGACCACTGGGTTTCTCTCAAGTATGTCATCGTTCCCTGCCACAACACACGAGGCAGTTTCCTTCCGTGCTCTCCTCATATGTGCTTCCAAATGGTTGAAGGAGCTACATAATACCGCTGAAACAAGGCTGTTTCCCTCAAGAATCTCCTGAAGACTCGTCTCTTCCAAACATGCCCCCTGTCTTAACAACCTTAACACCCCAACACGCACAACCTGCACTTACTTTGCACTTACTTTGCACTTCTCTACCTGTTTTACTTGTACTCTGTCATTTGAAGAGATTTAAAGAGTTTTAGCGTTTAATGAATGGGCAGATGTTTCTTACTGTACTGAAGCTTGAATGTTGTTTTTCATTCGTGGGTTATGCCGGATAAAGCTTTGATAAATGACGACATGCAAAATGTAAGTATTTGCCACATTTTCTTCACATTTATTTTTTAAATTAGTCTAAGACGGCGTCACATTTGCAGCCTGTTGGATCTTCAGAACTACAAAATCCGACTGGAGCACTAGATATATTGTCATGACCCTTTCTCAGTTTATGATGATGAACCTTTAGACAGTCTGGGACTCTGTAGGGATTTAGAAAGACATAATATCCAAACATGAGCCATCTAAAATTTCAAAAATATTTCAAATATCTAACTAAATGCTGTTTTTGTTTGTTTGTTTCCATAATTAGCTTGGAGAGTTCACCCTCTATTTCTTCTCTTTGAGTGGAGCGAGCACTCACTTATCATCTCCCTTGCCTTTGGCCATTTTGGGAGGAGGTCAGTAGTATTTGGCTGCTTGAACACTTGCTAGCGGAGAAGGGGTGACCTCACCTTTGTGCCTGTGCCACTAAATCCTGCTGGGAGCCACTCACCTGTGAACGCCGGCCGGTAATCAGCAGGTGCTCCGACGTGACTCAGCTGCCCGGACCCCCAGCCTCGATGTCCCAACACACCTCCGTTCTCCCTCTCCTGTCACCCAGAGTGTTCACTTGTGCAGACACGTGCCACGGCCATTGATCAAACCTCAGCTTTCACTAATAGCAGGATTTCTCATCGGAACATTCCTGAGCACAGCTGCCTCGTGTTTCTTTTGGTTGCTTGAGGTGATGCGTGCTTGTCCTGTAATCCCCTAACCCAGCTCTGGGACCTGAAAGTCTGTAAGTGGTGTCTGGGTAAAGGGGAAGGGAGAAAGACGAGGAAAGCTGCATTTGAGGATGGATTGAACAAACTATTTTAATCCCTTTAATGGAATTGGCATGTAAACTCACGGACTTAGAAGTAAACAGAAAGAAAACGGAGAGCAATGGATGTTGGACTGGCCTGAGTTGTGTCGAAATCCACTTCGTGCCCCCCCCTCACTGCTCGCAGCCCCCTTTCTCATTAAAAAAAAAGCTCATCTCCTTCAGTGGAAATCGGGCTTACCACACATTTCCTTATACAGAGATTGTTAAGTTGAAAGTTTGATATTTTTCAGTGCTTTTATTCCTGTAGTCCCATCCTAAAGGCTAATCATTTCAGAAATAAAACAGCATTTCTGAAAATTTACAGAAAATGCCACAATGGCAAACTGTCACTTTATGTAACACTCCTGCTGGTGAATCTTATCAGACCCATAACAACACAAGATCATCACTGACACTCCAGTGTATGAGATTGAAACTCTGTGGAATGACGCAGAGCTGTGAGTGACGGGGCTTTAAAGTTTGTCCATCTGCTGCTGCCACTGGTGCAAAACTGCCCCTGCCAGATGTTATCAACGGCAGCTGGTCAAGTGAGCAGTTGAGGTGGGGG